TTCTTCCTGCAGGAATTCGACCTCGCCAGCGATACCTGCCTGTATGATGTCCAGCAGCAGGATGACATCACGGTGCTTGCTCTCATGGGCGCAAACACGAAGGTGCAGAGAGCTAGAACAGCAGCGAGGCTAGAGATATCCAGAGCTGATGCAGAACGTGAATCCGAGGAGTTTCCCCTTGGTCGGAGGCCTTCATGGGTTCGACTGAAATCAGCCATAGCCAGCTCTCCAGCAAGCATTATGAAGCCTTGGGTGTGGCCTTCCAGACTATCACACGTGCAACTGTCTGTGGGACGACTATTTGTCATGTGCACCAGGCACCTGTGGCTCATGCTCAGAGATGACATCTTCCAGGGAGTTAGGCCATGCCCGGAATCACTGCAGGAAGCCATGAAATGTTGGACGATAACAAGCATCACTGACACCCTGACTGCTGTGACCTTCGAAGCCTGTAATGTCGGACTCCAGGACCATTCTGGTGTGACCCCTGGACGCATGGGCCCAAGGTCAAAATCATTCGCAAACCGATTGTCCACCTTCTTTCCCAATCCTAAATCGCTCAAGAAGGCATCCTCTCAGTGGTCTTCATTGTGGACTGGAGAAGGATACATTGCAGAGTTTCACAGATTATTAACAAGAATGGACGAGGATGAGAGAGCGTTCTTGCAGGATGGACTTGCAGATATATTTTCAAACATTCACTGTCTTCCTGCAAGCACTGCTGCGGCTGTATGGAGAGTCAAACAATCAGCCATTGTCTTCATCACTAACCCGGCATTCTACAAGATTGAATGCTTAGGGAGAGCTGGTGAAAGTCGGAGAGGACCTATCGCACGCCGCCCGGTCAATATAATCAAGGGAAAACGCATTTTTACAGCAGACCTAATGGATGTCACACCCTTTGATGCTCTAGGAGCTCTCAGAAAGCGGTCTGACAGGCAGAAACGCAGGGACCTTCACAAAATACTAACCAAGGCAAACAAGCACAAGAGGGTCCCTCCTCCCCCACGTCCCTCCGGACGGAGCAGACCATTTCCTCTGTCTAGGCTCCACGATTCTGAATAGATGTAGACACGTAGTACTTGATTTTTGAAAGTGAAGCATCATACAGCACACTCGAGCATTCATACACACTGTAATTAACTGTATAGCCAATATTTACTATGATGTTACCTGATCTTACGTTGGTCGCTCTCAGGACATTGGAACACAAAGAGAAAGAGAGGAGGAGGATGTCTTATTGGACCAGGTAGGGCACCGTCAAATGTCTGTTTCATCACCAGACACATGCATCCATTATTGATGTAGTCCAAGTTATTAATCATGGAAAATGAATGTTCAAGAACATTGAATCCACTGGTCAGTAAAAGCAACATTTGTGAGTTATTTCATAGCATCCTCTAGTTATAGCTTCTTCCACTCATCAAATAGCTTCCGGGGTATAATTTCATGACTTTACCACATACCCATTCATACTGTCACTCATTCAGTTTCTCGTACCCTCTTTCTCTTTCCTACTACCCTACCCTGTAAGGCTCAATGTCACTTCCTTCTGCCTTCATTTTCACTACCTTTGCCATTCTCACATTTCACCTGTTATTGGTGGGAACAGTGATGAACAAGACAAGTGGATTCAAGGTCTGAGATCACCACTTTCACCTTTCTCCCATCTCACCTTCTGTTAGTGGGAACCCTAATGATATGTCTGGCCAAGAAATAGAGTGAGAAATAAAAGGTGAGAAGAGGAGGTCGCTCTATTTCATAGACATGTCATCACTGTTCCTACTAACGGAAGGTGAGATGTGAGAAAGGTGAAGGTGACATACTGTGGAGCATGAAAAATAGTATCTCTGATGGTGGACAGTCATCACATTTCTCTAGAATTGATGATACTGGAATTCCTGCCGTGAAACAATGATGCTATCAATTGGCTATTGGTAGTCAATCACAGACCACAAATATTCACAGGAGGCCCACATGAATATGTGATCCATATAAGTAGATCTCAGACTTCAGACATCTAGTGATCTTATTGGACCAGTAGGGACATTGTCAAAGTCCATTCCATCACCAGACACGTGCATCCATCTATTATTGATGTCATCCCAGTCATCAATAATGAATCTGAATGTGCAATCCAGGTTACTTGACAGTCTGAATGCCCTGACGATACCAGGTGTGCTGAGCCTGTAGGCACACCTCCCTACATAACATCTATTATTCTGGCTTGCATATACTGGCAGTCACTATAGTTTTTAACTTGTTCAATAAATAGACAAATTATCTATGTGTCATAGCCAGTGGCTCATCTACTTACATAGGGTGCGAGGACAGAATTTTATGTGGTTTCAGACATCTTTCTTGAAGTTTGAGTCACCCATGTGTATAGAGAATCCAGTGACAAACATACAAGTATGATGTGTCATTCTACCTCGAACACTTCAAGAAGCGAAATTTGTTTGTTCATATCGGTGATAATATTAGACTCATGCAGGGTGACATCAACGGAAAACCATCCCAGAAGTGAAAATTATTATTAGTACTGTCAGCAATGGCTTGATCTTCGTAGAGGGTGACAACAACAACACAGGCCCTCAAAAAGCCGAAAATTTATTAGTCACATTAGGTGCTATTAACAGGGATTTGACTATCATACCAGGGCGACACGAAGGAATAAAATGCACAAAGTCAAAAATGCCGTCAGAAGCAACATTTGTTAGTACTGACAGTAGTTTGACTCTCACAAAGGGTCACACTAACCAAGATTTCCCCCGGATCTGAAACAGTTGGTGCCATCAACAATGGCTCGACCCTCACAAAGGGTTACACCAACCACAAAGCCCCCGGAATCAAAACAGTTGGTGCCATAAACAATGACTCGACCCTCACAAAGGGTTTCGCACCAACCATAAAGCCCCCACAAGGGAAAGGGGGTGGTGTCATAAACAACGACTAGACCCTCACAAAGGGTTGCACCAGCCATAAAGCCCCCAGAATCAAACAGTTGGTGTCATAAAAAATGACTTGGCCCTCACAAAGGGTGCACCAACCATAAAAGCCCCCAGAAGGGAAAAAGGTGGTGTCATAAACAATGACTAGACCCTCACAAAGGGTTGCACCAGCCATAAAGCCCCCAGAATCAAATGGTTGGTGCCATAAACAATGACTAGACCCTCACAAAGGGTTGCACCAACCATAGAATCAAAACAGTTGGTGTCATAACAATGACTCGACCCTCACAAAGGGTTGCACCAGCCATAAAAGCCCCCAGAAGCGAAAAAAGGTGGTGCCATCAACAATGGTTTGACCCTCACAAAGGGTAACACCAACCACAAAAAGGCCCCAGAACTACAAAGACAAAATATGTACAGTTTACAAAGGGACAGCAATTAAATACATGAGTGAGGGAGGGAGAAGCAAGAAAGAGAATTTTTTGGTTCAAGTTGACCGCATTTTTGCTTATATAATCATTGTCACATCAGGCCACAATAATAAAGCCACATCTTATCATAAGAAATATTCGATGAAACAGCACATTTTTGTGCATATGATCAGCGTCAATCAAACGAAAGCTATATATTGTAATTGGAAGATGCTTGTTGAAATTTTGCAAGTTGGCTTATTAGAAGCAAATAACCAACATTGATATGCTGCCTCCCTCTCTAAGATTGATTTTCCAGCCATCATATGACATGTATGACTGTATCTTGAACTTGTTCCTGAGGTTATTGAACCATCTAAATCGAGTGGGCATGCCCATTTCATGTGTAAAAATCATGTTTCAAATTTGAACACCCCTGTCATGCTGCCTTACCCTCTAAGATCGATTTTTTCAGCCTTCACATGACTTGCCTGGCTCAAGATAGGACTTGTTCTAGAAGTTATTGAGCCTCCTGAATCTGATAGCAGCATTTGTTTGGTGCGAAAAAATCATGTTCCAAAGTCATGAGTTATCAAGTCCTGTTGTGCTGAGGCCCTCACCCAAAGTCAATTTTGTCAGCCTTTGCATGACTTGCATAGCTTGATCTCAGGCTTATTTCTGAAGCCATAGACCAGTAGGAGCAACAATTTGATATGGCAAAGTCATGTTGTTGCAAAGTTGCCCACCTATGGTCAAGTTGACCGCTTTTGCTTATGTAAGCAATGTCACCCCTGTTATGCTGCCTCACCCAATGATTGATTTTTTGAGCTTTCATATGACTTGCTTGGCTTCAAATAGAACTTGTTTCTGGGGTTATTTGGCCGTCTGAATCTGATGGGAACACTGGTTTGGTCCGAAAAAATCATATTTCAGAGTGATGCTACCCCCTCCCCCTACCTACTACCTACTGTGCCCAGAGGCAGGATTCCATGTCGATACTGATGTATAAAAGGATGTTCCTAGTGTTTTTGTATCATATTAAGTGATTGGAGATGGTCTCAGAGTCATCCGGGCCCATGTGAATTGTGATGTGTCAGTTTGCCTGATGCCCCCCCCCACAAAGATCGATTTTTCTAGGCTTCCCATGACTTGTCAGTCCTTCAGGAGCATCCTTCCTGGGGGTTATTGAACCCTCTGAACATGATGGTCAAGCCAGATTTGCCAGAAAAAATCATGTTCTTGAGATATGCAAGGTCCCCCCTCCCCCCTCCTATCTCATATATCTTCATATTATGTGAATACTGATATATCAAAGGATGTTCCTAGTGTTTTATGATCACAGGAATCGATTGGAGATGGTCCCAGATTATTTCTAGCCTGTTTGAATTGAAATATGTCAGTTTGCCTCATACCCCCCACAAAGATCGATTTTTACAGACTTCCCATGACTTGCCAGTGCTACAAAAGCATTTTTCCTGGGGGTTCTTGATCCACCTGAACACGATGGTCGAGCCAGATTTCCCAGAAAAAATCGCGTTCTTGAGATATACAAGGTCCTCCTCCCCCCTCCTACCTCCTATATTTTGCTGTGCTTGAATTTAACTTAAGACCGATACTGTAAAGGCCTGTCCTAGGGTTTTTTTAGGTGTAGGAATCGATTGGTGATGATCCTGGACCACCTGGAGATCAATATTGGTGACATATGGTGGTGGGGCCAAAAAGTCAGTATTTTGGCCATATCTCCACAACCCAACCGCCGATTTCTTTAATTGTTGGCTCATATCATTCCTAGAAGTACCCTCCATGATATGTACCAGCCCATGAAAAGAAATTTTTTCACAAGTTTGAAACCTATTTCTGAAATGACCATATAAGTACAAGGGCAATAAAATGTTAGCATGACAATCCATGTGATAGACGAGTACTTGATCATGAGCTTCGAAAGTCAGATTGGAATGTTAGTTAGGTGCAAAAAAACTTACTTGCATGAGCGCAGGCCCTCTGTAGAGCATCCCACTGAGCAATGGCCCACTCTTGCAGAGTATAGCACTCAACCTTCACACGAGACTCTTCCTCATTGCACCGGTCAATCTCGAGCACCAGTTTGATCGCAGCGCGAGTGGCCTCATCAGCTAACCAATCAGGGGGTTCCAGCACAACATCATCGAGTCCAATGTCCTGCCAAATGTCAGCATCAATATCAAGATCGAAAATACCAGCAGGAGAGATAGGGTTGGGTGCTATGGCATTGGGAGGACTACGGCGTTGTCTGATAAGAGCACTAAGGTTCGCGCATAGGCTATTGTATGAAGAAACAAGTTTTCATATTGTAGGATTGCGTCGCTGGATGGCAGTATCAGTGCAATCAGTTGGGAGTCCATGTGTGCAACTTAGAACATAAGTACCATTCACCGCTTGCCTATATGAGCGCTTGAGCTTCTCAATCTCGAACTTGTGCTGTCAAGATCATTTGTGAATACATATCTTGAGAGCTTGAGCATCTGAATGAACTTGTAGATAGACATTGCGACATAGTTGGTCTAGATTGGTGTGCTGACTGATGCCAAGTCGTGTCTTCCTGTGTCGCAATGATCCATCGAGCTCTCAAAGAGATTTTTCAAGGGAGAGAATTTTTGAGATTTCCTTGTCATTACTTGTCTTTGATCTTCCTATTGAGATCACTGCATGAATAATATGATTGTAAATAATGAACAGTAGCACTTACAAGGCAGGGGTCTTGTCTGATGTTCACATTGTGATTTCCATTCCTGACAGACATGGGTCTCATCCACTGATAGCTCACGTAGAGCTTGCATTGCAATACTCTTCTTCTTCACGCAGTTATTCCACCTCCGGCTCAACCAATTGCCAAACAAAACAAGGTTCTTGTCATCTAGGTGCCGGACTTGAGTGTTGAGGACAAAAAGTCGCTGATGAAACTAAAAAAAAAAGCAGTCAGTAAGTAGGAATCATGTAAATTGTAGTGAGAGGTGAATCGGTAATAGAACCATGGCAATTTTAATATGGCCATGAGCAGCTATAACCCATACACAACTTCTCAAAGCAGAAATCACTCACCCCTGAAACACGTAGCGGAGCAATGAGATGTTTGAGTGCGCTCCATAGACGCTCGCAACCTTCCCCATCTGAAAGGCCAAAGCCTTCACATCCCGGATGGACAATAAAAATGGCAGATCTTCAAGTACGCAGCCCCATGGCCTGCTGCCGTCTTTCGACGAGGTCAACGAACTGTTACATTCAGAGTTCAGTGCTGACAGAACTCTAGATATCCCCGCTGAGCTTTCTGACATGTCATTTCACCCATACCCCAATCGGTCATCTTTTGAGCTGGGCCATTGGTATTGGAATGGGGGCGTACAGAAGTCTCAGCAAAGCTTCAAGGAATTGGTCGATATTATTGGACGTCCGGATTATGACCCTGATGATGTGTGAAATACTCCATTGGACAAGATAAACTCACAATTAGGAGCGAATGTCGAAGGCAGAGACGAATGGGAGGATGAGGATGCTGGCTGGCGTAAAACACAAGTGTCAATTGAAGTCCCATTTTCTCGTACCACATCTCAGCCGGATGCTCGATCCTATATCACAGCAGACCTTTACCATTGATCTCTGGTTTCTGTTATTCGGGAGAAACTCGCAAACACTCAGGACGATGAAAATTTTCCATTACAAGCCTTACCAGCTGCAATGGTGCGCCCCTCATCTTGGACGCGAAGTAAACATTCAGGGCGAGTTATACACCTCACCGGCCTTCATGGATGCGCACCGTGCACTTCAGGAGTCTCCTGGAGAGATAGGATGTGACTTACCTCGTGTGGTCATCGCACTCATGTTTTGGTCAGATGCTACACACTTGACAACTTTCGGTAATACGAAGCTCTGGCCAGTATATATGTACATTGGAAATGAATTGAAGTACCATTGGTGTAAACCATCCTGCCATTTGGGTAATCATGTGGCCTATTTTCAAAAGGTATGCCGGTCATTCTGAACTAGTTCCCGTTCATATTGACATCGACGTCTTGTAGCTTCTGGACTCCTTCAAAGATTTCATGGGAACTTACACCCAAGGCAAGGGTGTTGGTCGCGAATGCACAACTCATTGCCACCGTGAATTGTATCAGGCTCAGTGGAGGGTCTTACTTGATCCCAAGTTTTTAGAGGCATACGAACACAGGTTTGTGATTTTGTGTTGTGATGGCGTCAAACGCAGGTTCTACCCGTGAATATTCACTTATTCTGCCGACTACCCTGAGAAGTAAGTTGTCGTTATTGTCTTTAATATATTGCAATTCACAAAAGCCAGGGTTCTTGTTGCAACTATTTGGCAGCTGGGAGGTTGTCCTTGTCTGCGATGTCTCGTATAGATAGGGGTCCTGGATGCGTGCGAGCCTCGCTGCCTAGTTCAACGCCATCGAAACGCACTGTCTTGCCTTTAGGGAAATACGATCCGTTCCCCTTCTTCTGATCGCGTTTAGCGGTTGCTAGCGCTAGCGCCTGCGTGGCACGCAACACTTCAAGATTGTCTTCATCCACCTCTGATTCTGCGTCCGTGATAGTGTGCACAAATGCGGACGAATTGAGTTCCATTATGGCGTCAACTTCTTGGTCAGCGCGAACAAAGATACCCACCGTTATGCTCGAACTCGGGAGCACCTCATCCGCCTGCTGAGTAGCAATATGGCGGTCAAGTTGCTCTTTCAGCGTTCCCTCTTGCAGCCTTCCTGGAATCCATCTACCACTCAGCAACACTAACTTGTTCTGTTCGCTTATCTTACACTTCCCCACGTCTATGTATGCCGTCTTTTCATGACAGCAGCTAAGGAAGTGCTCGCCACTTCCGCAAAACATACACCCTTGAGCCGCATAGCCACCGCTACGGGTGGCCTGGTATTTTTGCTTGATGACCGCTCCAGCCGCAGGTTTTTGGTAGGCCAGGTCCTGCACATTTCCAGTTCGAGGCGAGGGTGACGTAGTTTGCGTGCCCGCTGGTAGTGTGGCCACTGACACGACACCTGGGAGCAAGAAGTGCGCTGCCAAGCGCACGTCCTTGATAGGGTAAGGATTGTCTGGGTGGTGGTCTGGAAATTTGATCATCATGCGGGTGCAGATCTGTTGTTGCACATCTGTGGGGAATCCTTCTAAGAAGAGCCGATTCATCTCTGCTTTACCAACGCGATCTTTCGCTACGAGCAGCTGCGCTACCTTAGTGAACTCGTGGTAATACTCTTTTTCCGCTTCCATGCATTCCATAAGGACTCAGTTAGTATGGCCAAGAAGTCGACGCCATAATGGAACTCGATTCGTCCGCATTTGTGCACACTATCACGGACGCAGAATCAGAGGTGGATGAAGACAATCTCGAAGTGTTGCATGCCACGCAGGCACTAGCGCTAGCAACCGCTAAACGCGATCAGAAGAAGGGGAACGGATCGTATTTCCCTAAAGGCAAGACAGTGCACTTCGATGGCGTTGAACTAGGCAGCGAGGCTCGCACGCATCCAGGACCCGCGTCTAGACAAGCCGCTGATACAGTAGAGATAATCTCTCCAGCCGTACAAGCTTCATCAGGCAAAGGCAAGGCGCCGGAGGGAACAAAGGCCGCGACCACTCCTTCAACGTCGGCCGCTAAACCAAAGGAGTCGGCCAAAGTAACCGATCAGGCGTCATCATCTGCTAATGTACCCACTGCATCGGCCTCATCAGGCACGTATAGGTATTCCTTCGCGCTAGAAGACAAAGAAGCAGACAAGTGCGTCATAGAGCGCCTCCTTGACAGCAGCCTCAATATTCCCATGCGCGAACTATTGGCTGTGTCGCCAGACGTTTGCAAGCAGTTCTGCGACCTAACGACCACAAAGCGTGTCACAGTGGGCACGGTGTCGGTCAACGAACTGTCTAGTCAGGAAACGACGGAAGAATTCATCCAGGCATTCGACCAAGAGCGGCTGCGCAGCGACGACGGCAAAGTAGTTGCAGACCATTTCGCGCCATTGCGCTGCATTCACACAGCCACGATCGGGGGACGGGTCCTCACCTGTGTCCTCGATCAAGGCGCCGAGGTAGTAGTGATGCCGAAGGAGGTCTGGAGATCACTAGGTGTAGGTTTGCGCGCAGACCATCGCCTCAACATGGAATCAGTCAATACGTCCAAAGATTCGACCTTAGGAGTAGTAGAGAACGTGCCGCTCGATTTTGGCGCCGGACCAATGTACTTCCAAGTACAGGTCACTGAGCGCACGAACTTCGAAATTTTATTAGGGCGCCCGTTCTTCAAGCTCACCGCCTGCTGCACGTTTGATCTTCCAAATGGCGAACAAGATATCCTGCTGACGGACCCTAATATGCGCAAAGAGCTGCGCCTTCCTACCCAGCAATGGGTGAAGTGCTGCAGCCGCTGCGTGAGCAGGCTCCCCTGTCCACAACATGCGCCAAACAGTGCAAAGCGGAAGAGCAGGGTTTTTAGATATTGATGATCTGCAGAATTTGCGGGGAGACACCTATCCGTCTTATATTACCCCGCCTTGGTACACGTTTCCGTCCCGCAAGGACGCTCAATCCTTTCCCTATTCCGAAGCGTGCGCAGAAGTGTTCCGTTTACCGCTCTTAAAGAGCAACATCGCATCAGTTTCTGTGTTCTCGCATAGTTTAATTTCTTCATCCGATCCTACCACCACTTTTTCGTTATCGCCGCAATATTTGGCGCATTATGCGCATCTGACCTCGACCCGTTCCGTTCTAGATAAGGCGGCTATAGCCACTTTCACATCTGTGTATTCTTACGATCGCGTGCGCCATGCGCTGGTCTATAAGCCAGTCGCAAAGAAAGTGTGCACAGTGCCTACCACTATGCCACCAGAGTATAGGGTAGTGCGCCAGTTACCCGCAGATCCATTGGCTGGCATGCCAGAACTGCCAACGCACCCCCCAGAATTTCTCCCAGGCGCCCACTTCATGCGCGACCGCACAGCGGCCGCTAATAACCGACCAAGTATATAAAAAGCTAAGCATCACTACTGTATCAGCGCGCGCATAATCCACCACATAGACATTTTCCTTCTAACACGCGCAGCCGCACCACGCCCCTTTGTAATACGACTTATATGCGCCTTACCCCTAATAGAAACGCGCAAGGATTAGAGGACAGGAAGTAGACGACAGGAGCAGAGCGAAGAAGACAAGACAGGCGCGACGCCTGTGCAAGACGACCGTATTGCCCCCTCCCTATTCTAAATTTTGCTTCTCCATATGCACATGTTACTTACCATCTATTATATCATGTTTAGGCCCAATGGACTGGACGGAAATGGACATGGATGGACAAGGCACATGGATCTTAGGCACACTCCAGGCGGCCAGTGCCAAACAAGGGTTACTAATCTTTGGTCATCGTTGTTATTTGTGAGACCAGCATTCTCACCAGGTATTTGTATACTGACCAACACAAGCTTTGGTCATTGTTGTTATTTGTCATTGTTTTTTTCTATTTGTCATTTGTTGTTATTTGTGAGACCAGTGTTCTCACCAGGTATTTGTATATTGACCAACACGAGCTTTGGTCAACGTAGTCACATTTGAGACCAGCTTCTCAACAGTTAACCGTATATTCAGGAAACCAGTTCAAGTGTCTAGACGGTATATCCTAGACAATCCCATAGTTTCAATCAGAGATAATAAAGCTCCAGCTAAGTTAATCTAACTGATTGGTTTAGCGAGCCTCCCAAGAATTCACACATTATCTACCACGACAGAAGAAAAGTCGTAGACCATGTTAATCGAGGACTGGCAAGAAGTCTTATCTAGTGTAATTGTGGTGTCATTACATTCTTACACGTTTTCATATAAGACCCTCGGTGTTACAACCAAGTACGCCCCTATTCATTTTCTCTTCTTACCTTGTATTACGTCATGATCGCTATCAAGCCGTCGCTAGACTTCTTTTATCACTAGTTGTATTACACCACGATCGCATCATGCCATCGCTAGGTGACCTATTCTTGTTATCTCTGACTCGCTCTTATCTCTGACTCACTCTTATCTCTGACTCATTCTGACTTTGTCGTACCGGCCCTAAAGCAGTTCCTTTCACTATATAAACCCACTTTGTACTATGTAGTTCTTTACTTTAATCTTACTAGGTTTTACCTGGAACTTCCTTCGCTTAAGATCTCCAATCTTAAGTCGTCTGAAACTCGATTCAAGTCAAGGACACTCTCCTTGTCTTGTCTTAGTGAATTATCGAACTTCGGCATACGCTGAAGCCTTGAACCGACTTTGGCCGATTACTCTTATCGAGTAGCCATACGTCAGAACCATCCTAGTTCGTAACACTCGGTTATTAAGACAATGTTCTGACAGTGATGTCACATCTGCCCAAACGAGATTCCGAAGTAAGAAGATGAACACGCTCCCTCGTTAGGCATTGGGTGCTATGAGCTCGATGACGGGAAGAGGGAAGAGGGAAGAATGACAGAGATAACTTTGCAACCCCCACCAAGGGAGACGACCCTGAGACACATCACCAACTCTCCCCGTCCTCCAAGGGTCCTTTTCTAAGAAATCATCTAGCTCCAAGGCGAAAAAGCTACTTAATGAGTCCCAAAAAATGCCAACTCAAATCATGAAGCCGCCTTCTCAATATACACGATAGAATCAACAAACTGTACAAACGGACATATCAAACCGTTCTGCAGAGACCGTCAATAAAACCGTGAATGACTATCCCCCAGCGCATTAATTTATGATGGCGGTCTACTAATGTGCCACAATGTGTTAGGCTCTTGTAAATCCTTTCGAATCATCAATATGTCAAGGGCAACTCGACACCCTGTTTACTACTTTCATGCTTCAAGCCACATCTTCCAGGTGTGTTTTACTAATTTATTCTTCATTTTGGACTCCCAGCTTGAAATATTTTGTGCCAGCAGGTTGAGAACATACTGTACAAGCCCTGCAGTTCAATTTTATCTTCAGTTTCCAATGTCTTTCATGACATGTTTGCTGCTACACAGAACAGCGGTGTGACAATCATTATTGGCGTCAGGCATGTATACCTGCATAAGCCTTCAATAGGTGGACCAAAGTTATCCCTCATATCATTCACTACTCCCCTATCAGCAATCTTCACTTGTCTCAGCCATAACCCTTGTCCGACGCTATTCCGCACTTTCCCGCACTATGCGCGCACATTCCCGCAGCGCTATTTCATGCTCCCGCGACTTATCCGACGCTATTCCCGCGCTTATAGCGCTATCAGAACTACCAGCAATGTGTCTATAGGAGCATTAGCGCTTGTCCGCTCTATCTAGCGCTTGTTCCCGCGCCTAGCGCTAGTCCAGCGCGCTGTTCTCGCGCTCTAGGAATCACCCGAAATGTCGGAATCCATCCATGGTCCATCCTACCTCATTGGTTTATGTAATTTGCCTTGCCTCAAGTTGTAAAAAGTGCTACAGTCTTATTACATGTAGTCCGAGTTGGTATAGTTTACTAGTATAAGAAGCCTATGGTGACTACTTCGACATCACTTCCCTTCGACTGTATTTCCTTCCCTTAGGTTTTACTTAGAAGTAGTCACCCCTTTAGTTGCGCTCTATGGCCCCTATTTGACTTTCCTTACCCTTGCAATCAATACCTCTGATCTCACTCGCTATCCATTACCCTCCTTTGACTCAGTGTCCGCTTTCTTGACTTCCGCTCTTTCCCGCGCATTAGCGCTCTATCTTGCGACGCGCTATTCCCGCGCTTTAGCGCTCTTTCGGGTCTTTTGATCTTAAGTTGTTCTTAGTAGCTTTTCCCTCGGGTCAAACGTTCTTGCATCTTTGTTGCAAGTATAGCAGCATAGGCAGAGCTTAGACATATACTGGCTTAGTACTTTAACAAGTGCCTAGTCAGGTTGTGTTTTTCACAGCGGTCAAATGGAGCTGGATGGCATGAGCGATGACAAGCCCATTCACCTCGAAGGAATATCCCAGGGACATCTTTGAGTTGTTTTCTTGAGCTTACGTTTGGAAGGTATGTCGATCCCTCGTTCTTCGATTTGGCCACTTGACAATTGTACTAGGATGCGTGCTGGCTCATATACACTTGACGAGCTTACAAAATTCCTCCATTTCTGCGACATGTACTAATGCTGCCATGCGGGAGAATTTGTTGTTTTCATGTGTTTGCGGCACATTTCCGCTTCCACCCAGCTCAACTAATGAACCTGGCTATCAAACATCACGTCCGTTTCACTTTTCCCATTCACTTTTCAG